ACATGTTTTAAAATAACTTTTTGACATTTAGTGCTTATTCCGTAGATGTTTTTGTGCTTATATATTTAGCAAAAAGAACTTATATATTTAGCAAAAGAACTTAAAAAAAAAGAACTTATTATATATTTAGCAAAAAGAACTTATGTTATTAAGATTAAGTTTGGTTTGGTTTGGTTTGTTTTACGGCATATCAACACCTCAATGGGTTATTTAATGCCGACAAAATTTTTATTGCTGGTAATATTTTATTTTGTCAAAAATCTATTTCTGGTAATATTTTTCCTTCAAAAATGTGTTGCTGGCAATATTTTTTTTTTTCAAAAAATATATTGCTGGTAATTTTTTTTCTTCAAAAATTTATTGCTGGAAATAATTTTTTACAAAGTATTTCTGGTATTAAAACCTATTTTTACACTTTCATTGTGTTTTTACCCCAGTTTCGGGGTTAACTATTTCCCCATAGCTGGGACCCTAATAGGTGCTACCAAAACGGGTCAGGGCGGACTTGGGAACACCACCAATTAAGAAGTGGTTTCACGCTCCTCAAAACCCCCAGATTAGAGGCCTTGCTGTTGGACGTAGTTTATTGTCTTACCCAGGTCGCGAGATTAAGTTTGATATCACTTCTTAAACATGTAAATATTTATTAAACATGTAAATATTTACTAAACATGTAAATATTTATGCAACATGTACAAGACCAATTGGTAGGCCAAATTGGGAATAGGAAGATTGTGTTTGCTACAGTATTATAATCATATATCATAACTGTACTTAGTCTTCTTGAGGTATCATCTCCATTGCTGTGCGTGTACTATCGGGGGAATAAGTGAGCCAGATGCACTAAAATGTTGTATACCATACTTTACCAACAGAGATGATAACGCCTTCTTGTATGTGAAATTTAATTTGGGGGAGAAAGAATTTGCTCATGAAAAATGAACAGCATCAAACTACATCGCTATATAAAAACTATTTAGAAAACAACTTGAAATTCGCCGCTTTTAAAGATATTTCTTTTCTACTAAACACAGCTTAGATGTGGCACAAGGCCGAAAGTATGGGGCACCCATTGAGAATCGAACTCACTACTCAGTCGTAATTGATCTAGCAAGACAAGCTTTCTAACCATTAGTGATTTTCTAAGCCCGGCTTAGATGTGGCACAAGGCCGAAAGTATGGGGCACCCAGTGAGGATCGAACTCACTACTCAGTCGTAATTGATCTAGCAAGACAAGCTTTCTAACTGTTACACCAGGTGTCCAGCTTTCCTTTTCTCCTACAGTGTAACCCGGATATAAGAGACCCGGATATAAGAGAAACCCGGATATAAGAGAGATTTTATCTGGTCCTAAATTTGAGCCTGTGTTAATGTATATAAATTAGACCAAACCCGGTTATAAGAGAAACCCGGATATAAGAGACTTCTTCTCCGGTCCCGACAACTCCCTTATATCCGGGTTACACTGTAATTTCCTAAGCTTTCGCAGAACTTACATAGTTGAAAATGGTGTGGGTATAATGTTTGAAAACCGATGAAATAGCTAGCCTCTAAATATATTTAAGTGGAAAAGACTAGTACGGGTGTCTCCCTGCTTGATATAGATTAATAATTCCCATATCTACCACGAGTGGCTATTGTCCCTTGTACAGAATGTACATTGTAAAAAAAAAAAAAAAAAAAAAATAAAAAAGTAGCAGAAACATATGCAAGAAAAAAATGTCGGTTTAAAAATCCAAATATTACTTAAAATTTATTTTATATTTCGGGCATGAGCATAAAGCTAGCAGATATATGTCGATTTTCAAAGCGTACTTTAGATGTGGCACAAGGCCAAAAGTGGGGAGCACCCAGTGTGGATCGAACTCACTACTCCGTCGTAATTAATCTAGCGAGACAAGTTTGCTAACCATTACACGACGCCGAAGTGTCCAATGATTTTCTAAGCGTAGCTTAGATGTAGCATAAGGCGGGTGGGGGAACAGCCAGTGAGGATCGAACTCACTATTCAGTCGCAATTGATCTAACTTGCTAACCACGCCGAGGTGCCCTAAAGCGAGAAGATATATGCTTCTAAAAGTTCCTATCAAGGGATGTATTTCTTTAAAAGAGTAAATAAACCTTTGCTTTGCTATGAGATCTCTCGTGGCTGAGTGACTAAAGGTGGGCTTTCAAAGGATAAAGAGAATTCAGGTATGATTCTTGTCAAAAGGTAGAGTTTCTTAAATAATACTTTCTAATACACAGGCCATTAGATGCCAATTTCAATGTTTAAAAATAAGGTTGTCTATTCAAATACGTATACCCACTAAATATAACATTTATAGAAATAATAAATAATGTGTGGGTTCTTTGCGTGTGTGATTGTATGTAGGGCACAAAACAGACAAGATAATTTCCTATGTTAGTAAACACATTTAAAAAGGACAATCTTGATCACTGTGTAAAACTTCACAAGTGGAGAAGGATTGCCCCCTCTAAAAATCAGGATTCGAAATTTTGGTTTTTATTTGGGTTCGAAAACTGAACACTGGTGCTAGTGAAAGATACAAAAATGCCAGGTCAGTTTAATCCCGGCACATTGTCATTGATATGGGACACTCGTGAGGACCGTTCTCAAGAGTAGCGTGTTAAAAATCGTACCCTGGTTAGTGTTTATGCATCATCTTATTTATTCATCTCAACCTTGACTTCCTTCCTTCCTTCCTTTCTTCCTTCCTTGTCTAGCCTCTTCATTTTATCATCAGTCAACTCTGCCATTTATTCCTCTAACGCGAATTTTCTTTCTGTTTCTCTCGCCCTTCTGTATAATGACCCCCTTCCACACCTCCACAACGTTATAAATTCTGCTTAATCCCATCTTCCTCGACCCTGTAGCAAGCTGGCGTACCTAGTATGCCTGCTGGCACGTGGCCGTTCAAAGCAGTGGCCCACGGCTGATGAATGGTACTCCAATTTGGGTATGCAACCGCCTTCCCGGACCCATTGCCTGTAACGACAAAGGCAGCAGTGACAATCTTCTCACAACCACTAAATACTCCTTTTTTTTTTCAAATATTTTTTTTTATATAACAGTGGTTTGCGCGTACCGATCGAGCAAATAACATTCGTTCCGTTAAAGATATTCCCAAAATTTAGTAGTTTTACGCCAGTTTTATTCTTATTTGCAGCTTTTGTAGTAATTGTATTTACTGTCTTATCAACATTACGACTGGCAAGATTATAGCATTATAGCTAAGATATGAATGTGTCATGGCTACATCATGTTTGCGTTTTACTGGTGTTCATTTACAGTTTTACGACCGCTGTTTTTCATTGACAAGACAGCAATCATTCGGGTTCGCGTCAAAGCCTAACTCGTTAGACAGGGATGAAAAAAAATACATTAACACCACCCGGGAAAGGTTGTAAAATGTAACCCTCTTTACTTCTCAATAAAATCATTTCGAGGGAGCGGTAAGAAAGAGTGTTACTGCCAAAAAGAATGAAATTTCTCACTCCGTTTATTTGATTCATATGAATGTAAGTATGTCGTAAAATTCGCTTTTTAAAAAAAATCATTTCACCCACCAAACAAGGCGATAAAAGCGACTGAGATACGAAGGGTTACTGAGAGTGAAGGAAACAGGAAAGACGATAAAATAACAGGATTCAAAGAGACAAAAGATGACGATTGACATGGCGTTTAAATTTTTCGTAGTTGACAGGAAAGCAGGAAGCTGGAAGAGAGTTCCACAAGAGAGAGGGAACTATCATAGAACTCACGTGTTACAACTAGCAATTTCAACAGTGAAATTATGAAACCTAACTACCAATCTAGTGCTGCGCTTTAATTCCTGAAGTCGAGGAACCAATGAGGAGAGTTCCTCAGAGCAGTTGCCGTGAAAATATTTATAGAAAAACTCAATGAAGCTACATAGGGTAGGAAAGTAACCGAAGCTGAGATGCAAAGTCAAGACTGATAACATTGCAGATTCTTTTGGGGATTTTGTCAAGAATCTCTAGATATATAGCAGAAGTACCAGACCATATGTGGCAGCAATATTCGATGCATGGACGAATGTCAGACTTATAGATGTGCAATATAGATTTTGGCGAGAAAAAATTATCTCGCACGACATATTGAACCGATTTTCCTAGCAGCAGACTTAATAAATGATTCAATATAATCGTTCCAATTCATGTCAGTGGAAAGCGTTAGCCTAATAAGGCACAGTGAGTTACTCTCTTGGAGGTTAGCATCAGCCATGCTGATGGAAGTCAGAAAAAAGTTTCTCTATCGTGATTAAATGAGAGCAGCTTCATAATGGAGGCGTTCAAATTAACAAGCCATTTCTTGCCCCTGTTAATAACAGATTGCCCGTTTCTTAAATTAGAAATTATTATTATTCGAAGGTTGATCAATTATTCTATGTGAATAATGGAAACGCGTTGGATTAAGTGCATTGACAAGGAAAGGGACTGAATTGAAAAATATATATTTTTTTTGTAAAATGAATATATTTTTTCGTCAATAGGCTAGGAATATACATACAAAGGTATACACACATACATATATACATTATGTCTGGTCAGCCATTTTCGAACACACGTCTGCTTGGGCGGATAACCAATCCCTGTTGCAGATGCCTGCTCAGGTATATTTGTATTTGTTTAATACCCCACAGATCCCACCTGTGGTTTATACTGCAACTATACTGAGCAGACCATAGTTACAGTTTATGGGAGAGAGCGTGTTATCTAGCGGGACCAACAGTCTGAACAAGGATAGTGCACTCAAACCCTCAGTCACGATGACTTTTGACATTGTGCAAGCACACACGTCGACGCTTTCCGAACACTATTCAGTATCACTCACAGTTCGTGAGTCAATCCGGGGTATGTTTTCCAATGGTGTCGCATACTGTGGTCACCGCTCCAGGACGATAACATCAAAAAGTCACCTCATTGACAAATCGACCATAGTGTGATTCGAAACCGGCTCTTAAGTTTGGAAAGCTAATGCATACATACATATGGTTTTATATTGGTTATGTATTAAAAGTACAAAGGGCGGGTTGGAAACTAACAGACACGCTAACATATTCATTCATGGATAATATTAATAGAAATCAGAGATTCTCTAAGACTTCGTAATTCAAATATAATCTTTCCTGCTCTTGTCAGGACACAGACAAACAGACAGACACACGGTATATGAATAAATAACTAGATGAACAGATAAAGGAAAAGATTGAATTCACTCTCAGTATTTACTCATGTAGATGTTCTTTAATTGTTTTGTATTTAAAGAGAGATCGACAAAGACTCGATACTTAAATATTTTTATAGCAACACACAATAGGTATTGCATGGAATTAAAAATACAAATTAAATTTTTTCTAAGTTTTGTGAGTTATTTATTTTGTTCTTTTTATTTTCATATATAAACTTTTGAATCAGAATAGAAATACTTTATAGGAAAGAATTCGTTTTCCCATTGCAGTCTTATTAAATTAAAATTTAATAAAAGCGGCAGTTAAATTTAATTTTTGTTGTTTTAAATGTTTTGAAAAATGATAAATACAAATGATTTAAAGAAAGATTTACAAAAGTTAAAATATAATTAAAAAACAAACAAACAAAACAGACCAAAAAAAAACCAAAACAAAACAAAACCAAAAACAACGCAAAACAGAAAAATACAAAAACAAAATAAAAATATATTTCAAAGCTAATTTGACTCGATTGTTTCAGAAGCAATGCCAGTGTATTGATATATCGCTTATTTGTTTTAACCATCAAATAAAAGTGAAAATGATGCTGGCCTTTTTTTTAAATAATAAAAGAAGATATTTAATTCAAATTATTTGTAAGCATGCTTCTAAATGGGCATTTCCTGGGAAAGTACAAATATAAGCAATTATGCATCTACGTTTACAAATATATGTGTTTAGGCGTTAGTGCGTTTGCGCTCGCACACACACACAAACACACACATATATATTCTGCGAATTTTAAAGACCTAATTTTGAAGCTGATTTTCAGGGAGTCGCATCATACACGAGATATAAAATTAGCGTATGTACTGACGGACCTAGCAATGCTGTTGATCAAACTATGTATCCATTTACTGTAGTCAAATCAGCTTCAAAATTAGGTCTTCAAAAGTCGCATGAAATATATATATATATATATATATATATATATATATATATATATATATATATATATATATAAATATTCTTCTATTTGATAGACAAACGTGTTTGATTGAAATTAATGTTTACCTGCTATAGAAAACGTGCTTTCCGACAGGAATCGAACCTGTATAAATTATCCCTATAAAAATACTTTATAGAATTTACCTCTAATTATGAAAATTCTAAAAGGTAGTATTTTGATTTCTAAAATACAACAATAATAATAATAATAATAATAATAATAATAATAATAATGGTAATAAAAAATAATTATTCCGTTTCTTCACTTGTCTCGCACTCATTTACGTATATTTTGTTTGTTTTCCTGGACTATTGACAAATTGACACTTTTTAATGCCTATTGTACCAGACACAATAAAATATTTGTATTCAACCTTGTTTTCACTTTACTTCGTGTCTTGGTTCTAAAATCTAGACAAGTCGAACCCGAATTACGTCTTATAACATCTTGCACGACATGGTGAACCGATTTTCGTAGCAGCAGACTTAATAATTGACTTATAATAATAATAATAGGCGATGGTTGATAAGCTAGGCATTTTTCTCTTTTAATGAGTTCAACATCCCCCAAGTACCCTACTGTTGTAGCTATATACCAAGCTAAGCTAAGTTTAGAAAATATATACATTCAAACAATACTGTAGTGCCACTTGACCAAAATGACCTTACTATTCAAAAGCACGTGCACACCAAAAATTAAAACAAATTTTATTGCTGACCGTTGTTTAATGTGAAGAGCATTCAAAATTTTTAATCGTGTTTTGCTGTTGGTTTAGCAGTGTATTTTTGCATTGTCGACCATAAACTAACGCTAATTATATTTGTGTTAAATGTTTATATACAGCCCTTTGCTGATAAATTGACATAAACACTCCACCGGCTGTCTTTTGACTTTTCCCTTCCTTCCTTGAAAATGACTAACAACAGTTGACAGTACTCAGAACATTGCACATAGTTTAGGCAAATTCCTTCACAAGTTTTCACCTGACATCAGAGGTCAGGGGGAAATGTTGAACAGAAACTTCTTGACCATTCTATTTAATAAAGCATGTTTAAACGAAAGCTTTCTGCCTATCTATTCTATGTTTACATTTGTATAGTATAAAATTAACGCATACGTACGTACGTATTGATAGTACTCAGTGAAGGTTGGTTATGGCGCCATCAGCTATACGCTTAATAACTAAACGAAATACATTCACCAATTCTGTCAATCACTGATGTGCATACTATATACCGCTAAGATATGTTCGTGGAGATGAGAACGAGAAATGAATCCAATACCTTTCCCATAGAGTCAAGGCAATACGCATATATTAAAGGAAAGGAAGTTGTGAAGAGCCACGATATAGCATTTAAAAGAGAAAATATAAGTACATTTATATACACATCTATATATATATATATATATATATATATATATATATATATATATATATATATATAAACTTCTTGCAGTTTATCTATAAATTCGACTAAAATACTGAACACCTTATCCAAAAAACTGGAAAAATATTAAACAGACTTTGTTGGTTCTTTTAAATCAAACTTGCTTGGATGAATACTTGCTGCCTAAATATACCTTATTCCTATATATATATATATATATATATATATATATATATATATATATATATATATATAGATATAGATAGATAGATAGATATGCGTGTATGTCTGTGTATGCTTTTAAATCTATGCATGGAGTACAGACCGGGGTTTGGGGTCGGAAATATGGAATCGATCCTATCAGACGAAAAGATGAGGCAATCGGAGTAAGCGGTAATGAAGTCGTTTTCGGTGCCTCCTTTTCCCGACACAGAAGACAAGAATAATGGCTACGGTTTATTCCAAGGGTCAGAAAGGCGTTGAAATGGCGGTTAGGGATGGAATATTTCTATAATCCTGTTTTTTTTTTGTCTTCCTTCCTGTTTCCGTTCTTGTGGCTGTCGCTGATCGTCTTCGGGAAATGGGAAGAGGAAAAGGAAGAGATGATATTTTGGAAAGGAATAAGACGTCGACGACAACAGCAGGAATGAAATAATACGAATGGAGTTGAAGACAATTGGCAACAAACAGTCACTGAAATGGATCGGTGTTAATGGTAGTGAGGGAAGAATTCGTGAAAGTTCTAATGTGTATTGTTTTGTTTGTTTTTGGTTGTTTATTTATTTGTCTATTGTAATTGTGACAAATTCAGACTTGCCTCATAATTTAAAAAGGGGGAATGGGGAAAAGCGAAAAGAAATAAAACGAGAAAGAAAGAAAAAAAAGGAAAAAAAAAGAAAAGGAAAAGCAAGACAAAAAAGGACGAAGAGATGATAGAATGACAGTGTAAAGGAAGAAAACAAAAGAAGGAAAACTTAAAAGAAGAAAGAAGTAGAAACAGATAGGTAAATAAATATAAATAAGATAAAAAAACGTTTGGAAGAAAATCAGGTTTTGAATGAGTAATGTAATTTTTAAGCAGAATAAAATGAAGAAAAAATGTCTTAAAAAAGAATAAGAATGAATGAAAACAAAATTAAAAAAAATAGAAAGAGAAAAGAGATAATGACTGAATTATTTCATTTTCCCAAAGACAATGACAACAAAAAGAGGGAAGAAACAAAAAAAAAAAAAAAAAGTGAAAAAGAAACAAATATTTTAAAGAAACAAGAATGCAGATCGCCTGGGAAACTGCTCATCTTTTTATCAGTCAAAAACTTCATATTTTTACAAGTAACACGAAAAAAAATGGCTAAAAAAGACTAGTTCTATTTTTCTATTTTTTAAAATTTGTTTCAATACTATTTACAAAAGTTTTATCACTCTCCTATATTATTGAAAACTTTACTAACAGCTACAGTAGATAGGGGATAGGAAACTGTTGAAGGCAAATGACACATAGACGAAGCTATTAATTTTCAGCTTTTGAAACGTACACTTTTGTCGTCTGGAAAAATCGTGGTGGCAGGAATTTTTTCAGCTCACAAAATAAGCCCGTTGGTTCAAGTTGGTTTTCTGCTGGAAAGTTCTCTATACGTTTAATAAACTGGTGCCAGATATTTACGTCGCAGAGAAAATTATTTTAAAATAATCAACGAGCGTGCCATACTCAATAAGCAATAGTCCGGGGAGGTGAATTGAAGGAAACAGCTTAATAGCCTGTTGCGTTCACTTTCGTACTAATAAGCTTGGGAAATACATGAAACTATGGGTTAAATAGCAGAGCAGACTGGTTTCTCTTAGTCTTGGATGGCAGCTAGTCTAGAAGAATGACTATCTTGAATTCCAAATCGTAAAGAAACGAACCGGAAACCACCTCCCTATTTTTCTCAAGTAATCATGGCAATAGCGAATAACCATGGTCGCCTATGTCCTGAAGGGACAGGCATTAAAACAACAACAATAATAATAATAATAATGATGATGATGATAATAATAATAATAATAATAATATAAATGTAAATTGAAATCAAGAATAGTACCAGTCATAGTAGGTGCGCTTGGAATGATAAAAAAGAAACACAGCAACAAATTGAAAAAAATCCCTGGAAATCCCAGCTTAAGAAAAATACAAAAAACTGTCTTGATAAGTACAGCCCACACAATAAGAAGAACTTTGTCCATGTATCGTTAGTGATGTTATGGGAATTTGAAAAACAAATCATGATATGTAGCCATAACAACACACCACTACCTGTCTTAGGTCTTCCGGCAGACCTGGTAGGTAGTGTGACCATATCAGAAATCGAAATATAATAATAATAATAATAATAATAATAATAATAATAATAATAATCGCGCTGGTATTGTATTTAGTATACAAGAATAACGGAAGTGAAGTTTTCAAGTTTATAAACGCCACTGTTATTGTCTTTCTTTATCGCATTAAAATGATATAAGCAAAAATCAAGAACAAAATAAACCCCAAAACATGAACAAAAAACTATGAACTTTTACCGCTTTAAGCAAATTTAGTGCAAACTAACTGACATTTACTTACTTTTCATAGAGAGTACAATTTACGTAAATGTTAGTTCGATAATCTAGGATCAGTTTATTTGATTTTGCAGTCATTATCACACCCTTTCACTCGGTACATCCTTCGGTCTGACTCAAAGATGACCAGAGAATACTGCGGTCGAAATGTTTTGATCATGACGACAAAAACGAAGAAAATTCGCATTAGAAAATCCTCACCGGTCTTAAGTCACCTACGTTTAGAATATTGCTATAAAACTATGATATTTCTTTTTTTCTTCTTCAGATTCTCAATAAAAGAAAAGAAAATTTGGTTCATTGACTTTGTTTATCGGCATATCAACATGTATGGGTTATCTAATGTCGAAATCTAAATATATTGAACGCACAAATATGCCTTCAACTACAAATAAAATGTATTCCTGGTCATTTTGTTTTTTTTATATAAAAATGTATTGCAAGTATTTTTTACTATAAAAGTGTACTTTAATGTTTTCATAATGTTTTGTTTTTGTTTGTGGGTTCGCCGTTTACTCATAGCTGGGATCCTAACAGGTGCTACCACCCCGTTTCAGGGTGAACTTGGGAACAAAAGCAATTAAGAAGTAGTTCGACGCTCCTCAAAACCACCAATCTTTTGATCAGAAACCTTGCTGCCGGATGTAGTTTATCGTCATACCCAGAACTGAAGAAAGGAAAAATCTAAAATCTTTATACCAGATTTACAATAAATAAAACTTGGTTTTTGTTCTATATTTATTTGAATTTTCATAATAAATTAATCAAAAAGTAAACACATTTTTTTAATTCCTCATTTGAGTAAAAGTATGCAAAATTTGATTGGGATAAGTGTTTTAATGTTTTATATAAAGCCTTTCTACGATTCGTTCATTCTCATAGTATTGGAACTAAATGCTAGTTTTTTTCTCTTGTTTATCAGGCGTATTAGATGATAATGAAGTATAAACACCTTAAGCTTTTCTTAAAAATCTATCTAAACTGTGTCACTTTTGGTTCATTCATCCATTTTTATTTCATTGCTTTTAGTTGCCTTCACCCACTTCACAGCTGCCTGGTCTCTCTACCCCCCTCTCTCTCTCTCGTAACACTTGAAAACCACTTCAATTACGTCTTTTTATGTAAGGCGTTATTAACAACCTAATAGTAGGCGTGTCTGTTGGTCAAAGAGAGGGAAAAAAGATGGCGAGAGAACATGCGTGTAAATCTGTGGTCAAAAGGAGCGTGAATTTAAGCAGTCGCCTGTGTACGTATGCGACTTTCAACGAATGCATATATATTCTTATCTGAATCCTGTTTTATGACTTATATGTCTGTGTGTGTGTGCATGTATGCGTGTGTGTGTAAGCGCATGCGCATTCATAATCAGACTGATGTTGGCAGTTTGATTATGTTCTACTTCAGCGAATCTCGAACTGTGGCTAATTATACAATCTTGAGTAAAAAATAAACAAATAAATGATTTTCGTTGGGTAATGTAGGCCTTTTATCTATAGCCTGGAATTTTTCGGCTTGTAATTGACATCTGATGAAAAAATAAGCAAAAATAAACTTGTACAAAATCGAAAATTATTATCAAAATCTTTGTATTATTCATAAGAAGGACAGAGAGAATTATGAGATAAAAAGATTATCTGTGAGCATTTAATGGATAAAAGTGATATGTACCCGAAATTGAGGTCAAAGGGCCCTGGACGTTCTACTCTTATTTTCTACCACAGACTTATGTATGTGAAATAGGATTTTTAATAATATACAACAAGAAAAACAAATACCGAACTCATATTCACGTGTCTATTAACTTAGAGCTTGCACAACCAAAACAAATCCACATATTGCCAATAAAAGAAAATATCAACCACTCTTCTTAGTTTTGTTGCTAACTCATTAGTGTTCCAACTTTTATTTGTTATGTCGATAAAGAATGCACACAATATAATCAATTAGTGAATTAAGATTAGTGTTTTTATGGCCACATAAATTTAGGGATATAATAAAAATATTTGAGCAACGCTGTTCTACATTGTCTTATTTGAAGACAAGAATACCAAAAAAAAACAAAACAACCCCCCCCCCAAACAAATGAAGTAATCTCTAAATATTGACCGTTAAAAATATCAGAAGTTGAAGGATCGCTGCACATATTAAACTAGAACTTATCTATCTATCTATCTATCTATCTATCTATCTATCTATCTATCTATCTATCTATCTATCTATCTATCTATCAGCAAAAAGGTAAGGATAGTTTGCGCAAGATATACTGAATCCGAAGTGAAAAATGGAAGTCTGATTAACAGCCATAAGAGAGGTCTTTGATAGATTGAAAGAGACACAGAAAATCATATCAGAGTGAGACTTACAGGAAAATGTAATAATAATAATATCTATCTATCTATCTATCTATCTATCTATCTATCTATCTATCTATCTATCTATCTATCTAAGCTGAGTTTAGTCTGAAGATAGAATATATATATATATATATATATATATATATATATATATATATGGAGACAGAGAGATAGGTATTAAATAGAGATAGATAATTAGATAATGAACATGCATATATAAATGGATATTACAGAGACAGACAGATAAATAGAAAAGTAGATAGAGTGATATATATATATATATAGAGATGGATAGATAGATAGATAGAGAGAGAGAGAGAGAGAGTGAGTGAGTGAGAGAGAGAGAGAGAGAGACAGTGATCTTTAACACTATCCGAAATCAGATTAAGAATTATAAATTAAATTAAAATTAAAGTATAACTTGAAAAATTTCCTCATATTCCCTTCTCTCTCTCTTTTTCTTTGTCTTTCTTCCACTTGGCTTTGTTTCTTTCTATCTGTCTCTGTCTACCTGTTTATCTCTTTCGCTCTCTTTATCCCTTTCTCATTATCTGTCTCTATTTCTTTCTATCTATGATTTTTTTTTCTTTTCACACATTCATAGTAGCCGTAAATCAATTGAAGAAAACTTACCAGAAAAAAACGGGTGTCTCACCATTCCTTGGAGATGGCTTTCATACAGGCTGGGGCCCCGGGGTGTGCACCCTGCGCAGGTGATACCCTGGGTACCCAACGTGCATGAAGATTTACTGCAGGCCACCGATGACAGGGAAGACAGTGAGGGGTGACAACTGCTGAAAGCACTCACAGAGGAATTTAATCCGGCTGGGGAACCTAAAAAATAAATAAATAATTTTGAATCAAACAGTAATTAAATGGTAAAAGTTGGTTGTTAAAGAATTAATCAATATAGAAATTAGTATAATCAATCAATCGATACTTTTTATATCTCCCTAAAATAATAATAATAATAATAATAATAATAATAATAATAATAATAATAATAATAATAATAATAGATTCTGCTTGTCCTTCTTTTAGTTAGCAAAACCGTTACGTCCTGTCACTGCCTCATGAATAATGTGCTATTCTGTTTTGATCGCGTGGAAAGACGGAAAAGTCATATGTTACTTGGTTTCAGTAAGAAAATGAATGAATCAAAGAAAGAATGGAAGAAAGAAGAGCTTAACGTCTGTTTCAGTGAAATGGAAAACGTTATGAATTTCAAATATTTTCATATGTACTCACTTCTTAAAATAAAGACCAGCATTCATATTTATTATCCTTATTGCAATATTTTATTAAAGTTGTTAAGCTCAAATATTTAACGATGCGGTATGGGAATCTCTAAGGATATTTTATTGTCGTAGAACTCACCATAGTCTCACTCAGTCATTAACTTAAGAATGAAGATTATTGAGAAAATTTAAATAGGAAAATCGTTAAATTTTCACGAGTCTTTCTAGTAATAATAATGATAAGCCAAGCGTAATTTTGTAGTCGGATTCGTGGCTTAGATAGAAGCATATTTAAAAAAAATAAAAATAATAATCGTACCGTAGTAAATGTTATATAAATCTTATATAAAATTAAACATTCTATTTGGGGAAGACAATTGTAATGAGGCTTTTGCGCCTTTTAAGATCGTTTTTTTTGTGTTGGTTTGCATAAAATATTGGAGGTTGGACATCATTTTAATGCTGCAGATAAAAACTGAAAAATTTTAGATATTTACCTTGCCATATCCGCGTGGGAACAACAGCACTGTGAATACCGTCTGGAAAATATAAAAAAAATATAATTTATTGACTATATAAAAGATGCGTTTTTATTGTTTTATTATATATATATATATATATATATATATATATATATATATATATATATATATATATATATATATATATATATATAAAACATTATTTTTAGTGGATACCCAGATTTCAGTAAGACGCTTTGTTGATTTATAGGTATCACTAAAAATAACATTTAAATGATAAAATCCTAATATTAAAATAATAAATAAAAATACATCACTTCTTTACATATATACATACATACATACATACATATATGCATACACACACACACACACACACACATATATATATATATATATATAAAGTGCATTAGGAAAAAACGTTACATTTCAACAATTTCTGATTATTAACTTATCGTTAGAAACAAATAATAACATTAATTTTTCCTGGTATCCCGACTAAGTGAATTTAAGCGTGCTACTAGATTGGCATCTAGATCCCACCCTTTTACAGTTGAAATAGTTAAATGCAACCGCAACTTCTACTACAACAGTTTCTTTTCTCGTACTTCCCGCCTGTGGAACTCCCTTCCGTTTACTTGCTTTCCTGATAAATACAATCTTCAAAAATTTAAAGACAGCATCAATCGGCATCTTCTTGAGTCCGGTTCAGTTTTTATCCTTTCCTCTGTCCCCTCCATACCTGGTCTTTTCTCTCACCTTCACTCTCTGTAACCCTCTGAGTGCCAATGGCATAACCGCCTTGCTTGGGTGAAATGATTAAAAAAACAACAAAAAACTCGAGGGATGTTCAAAGACCAGCATGTTAGAAATAAATATGTATGCACATGTGTATTATACATAAAATAAGAATAAACTATTGCAAGTTTCTTAAAAATTAAAGTTTGAAGGATAGAAGAAGAAGAAGAAGAAAAAGAAGAAGGAGGAGAAGAAGAAGGAGAAGAAAGAGAAGAAGAAAGAGAAGAAGAAGAAGAGGTTTAAGTGAATGAAATACAGATGTAGAAAGGAGTGTGATAGAAATATAAAAATAAATAACAAAAAGTAAACAATCCAAAAAACAAAACAACAACGACAGCAAACAAGACAAAAACAAAATAGCTAGCCATCCATACATGTGCAAAATCTAGTGTTTGACTTCCATTCATGTCCTCAGCAATAAAATTCAATATCATCAAAATATCAAAAATCTTATTATTAACGATAAAGGAAATATCATAGCTGAAATGTGAAAATCAATTATTTTACATGACAAATATTCGTTATTCAATATAATCTCCTTCCTTGTTAATGCACTTAATTCAGTGGTGAATATTGGTCAGTTATATCGAACATTTTCAGAACAAAATTCAGGTCATATATAAGTGTCAGTCTACAGACATTCTAATCATTTCTCGGAGATCTGGATTTAATTTCTATGGAATGGTTAATAATTGAACAATTCACGTGGATATAAATCTAAAGATTTTCACAAGATAAAATAATAAATAAATGAATAAAATAAAGACAATTATTGCTCTGAACTATTTTGAATTCTTTGAGCATTAAAAATAGACAAAATAAAAAAGGAAATTTTTACACTATTTATGTTCAACATGAATACATTGAGTAAAACTTTTTACAGTTATGTATACTCTGTAAATATATATTACGATAGATGTCTTGAAAAGTCCGCGGCCATATCTATTTATCCTAAAGTTTACCAAATGATTAAACATTAGAAGTTTTCTTTTTGAATGGCTTCTTGCTTAGTCCGAGAACTTTGCAACACTTCCTCGTTTAACGATCATATAAAAAAAAGAAAAAAAAAGAAAAGAAAGATTTTTAAAACTTTAACATTTACAACAGAAGCGGAAAATCTTAAAATGAATCTTGTAAAATTTAACTGAATAAATTTATAAATTTTATAATTCAGGTTTTCTTTGCTTAAATTTTTAATTTTGCTCTGTATGTCTATCGCATTGTCCGAAAATAACGAAACAAATGCACATTAATGCGAAAAAATGTGTATATATATACTATGATACATACATACATATATCTATATATATGTGTGTGTGTGTGTGTGTATCATAGTATATCTATCTATCTATCTATCTATCTATCTATCTATCTATCTATCTATCTATCTATCTATATGTGTGTGTGTGTGTGTGTGTGCATGTGTAAAGAGAAAGGGAGAACGAAAATACATTTCTGTACTGTAGGTGTGTAATAAAAATAACTGCACGTTTACCGTTCTGGGCGCTTGAAGCAAACAGGTAAGATCTGTACAATTCATGTTCAGAGATGATGTAAGTGAATTGTTGAGTGTAAGGGGCCGTGAAGAGAACGGGGAACAAAGTTGGACGAGTCCCGTTGAGATGAAGGGCCGACATAGGGGGTAACGTCTTTTATAGAGAGAGATAGATAAAAAGAGAGATAGATAGATAGATAGATAGAGAGAGAGAGAGAGAGAGAGAGAGAGAGAGAGAGAGAGAGAAAAAGAAAGAGTTCGTGTGTGTGTGTGTGTTTGTGTGCGTGTGTGTGAGAGAGAGAAATAGAGAGAGAGAAATGATCAGTTTTCTTAATTCGGTTACTTATGGACAAGTCGATAGGCGAGTGAATACTGACAGGCGGGAAGATAAGCGAAATACAGCATTAAGTAAATTCAATATTTTTATCCACATCTGATTGAAGCGAGTGAATAAAGGTAAATGAACTGGACACATCAAGGAAAACCGCATAATCCTTTTCCCGCAGTTTCATGCGTATTTGCTATCCACACAGAAACTCATATGGAAAAATACATTCTGGAAAAAAAAAATGAAGCCACGCTATTAGCAAGGCACACATACACACGCACATATACTATTGAATGCAATTACATACATGTGCTCCTCAAGAGACTATACGCTTTTACCATTTTCTTACATTCAAACGCATAGGAGAACATATTCTTGTGAGGGGGGTCGTGACGTCACCGGCTACGTCACATGTTGTTGGAGTGGGAGTTGCATATGCAAAATGAGCGTTTTGCACTTGTGGGTGTGTTCGTCGCGATTTTGTCGGAGCAGTGGCGAGCAGACGTTGGAAGTAGAAAAGAAAACGTAGAAGAACAAAAAGTGCGATATAAAAATAAAAGATGAGCCGAAGCAAATGAAAGGGAGAATCGGGAGACAGGCGGGGCTTGAACAGGCATCAGATGCTACTGTCACACTGAGTGATTGCTTTAAGAAGAACGGAACATTGAGACGGAGACTGGAGGGGCGGGCAGCGAAAAGATCTATTAAATATTTCAAAGAAGCAGACGATATATCCTGTAATTATTATGCTTTGCTGAGTTGCCTTCCTTCTTGGAACGAGGCATTCAGTGAGTATTGAATAGTTTTATGAATGGAGAGAATTGTAATTTGTAATAGATGATAAATGATTAGACAAATTCACTCGGACGTTAACAAAACAAATTATTTAGAAGTGATTAAATCTGGGAATTGTTGGCTTCTTTGACACTTTGTTTTGTGTTTGAATTAAACCAAGTGTTTGTTTCTGTTCGTTTTTGTAACTGAAAATAATGAGTGAACTGAAAAAAACTTCGGGAGATGGTATTCTCTGAAAGTCGTAAATGGCTGCGTTTACTCGTAGCAAACAATAGTAGAATCATAATTCTAACCTGTCATTGACTCCCCCAACGCGAAACAAATTAGCGATGATGTTTTATTTAAACCACTGGAGACTTTTAAATAGCTTTAGTGGCAAAGCTCTACAAGGTTTGCATTCTCTTATCGGATAGTTTTCATACAGAGAATTAATGATTGGTGATGGTGTGATCATGTTTTAACTCATTTACGTTGCAACAATTATTTCTGCTGAAATAGATTAGAATTTTTCTTTTGAACAGGTAAAAAGAGCATTGCCGATTGGGAATAATCTTGGATCTTTTTTTCACAAAATTCAAAGTCAAAAGTTTATATATATATATATATATATATATATATATATAAGAATCTTAATAAGAAGATTCGGTCTGAAGAGATGAATATAGAAATATTCACGAAATAAATTATAATCGACATGGATCTTTATAGATTTTTCTAGATTTATTATTATTATTATAATGCTCTGTAGTTTACATTGTGTTCTCTCTGGATTAATATACCCTTGGAACCATCCCTATACCAGCCATAGTAGTTTTTTTGTACGGTTTTTATGCTTTCTGGCTAAAATCTGAGCATAAATTTTTCAAAATCATTTGGGACTGTCGGATTCCATAAGGAATTATCAAAGACAAAGAGTAATGAAAAGGTTTCGACCCAACCCACTCCCCTGAATCTGACTAAAACATAATTTTTGTTTGAACTTTTGGGTCTATTGGAGAAATTTCAGCTTTTCCACGTATATACATACATACATATATATATATATATATATATATATATATATATATATATATATATATATATATATATATATATATATATATATATTTTATTTATTTGTGTGTGTGTAATCTTTTGATTGCTCCCCATAAAACACACGCATTTATACGCAGACTTGAATATGCCAGACGTTTAATATATAAAAGAAAAAAATAATTTTGCTGATAATGTGTCAGTAAATATATATATATATATATATATATATATATATATATATATATATATATATATATAGGATGAATGTGAGTAAAATTTGTCACTTTGCTGATTGATGTCATCTTTAGTATCCTGACTCCAGAGTATTATAGGTAGACATGTCCGTCCACTCTTCAGGGGATACCAGCAAATACTTACTGCTGATATGTTTTTTAGATTTTTCCTTTTTATGTACATTTAACATTAGTATAATATTTTATGTGTTTTTGTGTTTTATATATAAATGTATATATATATATATATATTTTTTTTATTTTTATTTATATATATATATATCTGTGTGTGTGTGCGGGTGTGTATGTGTGGGTTTGTCTGTGTTTTGTACAGGATAATTTACTGTGTAAATTATATTGCATGTCACTCTTACGATGTTTTAGTTTTATGAATTTTAACAGATTTAAATATGTTATTCCAGACGGCATTTGTATTTGGCACAAAACATTTCAGATGGACAATCGATATTTGATTAACAAACAAGAATAATACTTGATTTTAAATCTTCTAAATTAAATAAATTTTTTTTCTGTTCCTTTTCAATGATAATGATATGAATAAACATAAATAAAACTCTCACCCAAAGTTCCTGTTTCTTAATCGAATATTCCCTTAAATGTTCTTCGGAGTGTTTTCATTCTTTAAGTCAACAAATGACCTGATGGAAAAAGTTTTGAAGCCACCTTCATACATATATACACTGCGCCTTACATTATTAGCCACCCTTAATGTTTTCGGAATCTTTAGGAGAGTTCACGGAAATATTTGCATTTTCAATGGTACGCTTGTTCTCATAAGATTTATAGATTGTAGTAGACTACGTTTTATCTGACAACCTGACAACAGTTTTCTGAATTTCAACGGATTTTCCTATTTTCCATTTATTAGCTAGGTTTTACTGAAACTCCAAGAAACATCGCGATGTGATTAAAAATTTTAATTGCAAGACGTACTCAAAGTTTACATATATAAATGTTTCGAAGAAAAGAAAAATTTTAAATGTTTTTTATTGAAATGAGAAAGTTATAAAGACAAAAATAACAGGAAATATAGGCTTCATGTTCTGAAACTAGTTTTAGAAGTTATTTATAAATTGATTTTGAGTGCTTTTGCATTTCTTCATATGAAACGGACTATACAACAGCGATAGTACCATTCTAAAGTTAACCACTGCTGGTAAATTATTATCCGCCAAAATACATCTACGTCGCTAGTAAGTTCCATATATTTTCCATTGGGTAATGGCCGGTGGTAGAAGATGGTCACTTCATCGAACGAATGTTTTGGAAAACCATTTTATTCTGGTGTTCTTTTCGTCAAATGTAATATAGTATTGTCGTGAATAAAAATCATCTTCTTTCTAGAAGAGTTTGGTTTCATCTTGAATTATAGCTCTATGCGTACCTTTAAAAAAAATAAATGCATATCTGAACTGTCAACACCATCTGAAATTCGCCTATCCTTGCGACATATAAACTCACCCTAAAACATCACATCAACTTTGCTTTATTGGCATCTCAACTCGTGAGGATCCATTCTTACTTTGCTTAATCAGTCTGGACCCTCAAGAGTAGCAAGGCATTCATCGATGAAGAGAATAGTTGAATATAAGGTTTCATCTATTCTGCTGCCCATTAACTTTGATTTCCATTGTGGATGACTTAAAGTCGGAGGTTTAGTGATTTAGAACCTGACAACTAATCGCTTTCACCGCTTTCGAAAACTTCATGGCTTCACAAACACGGATTTTTGCTTATAAGTTATCTCTTGATACGGAACACAGATTGACTTAGGGAAGTAACTGCTAGTAAATTTTGCAATTTCCAGCGTTGGTTTAACATTTCAAACTTTGTATTTATGAAATTTTACTCTTTATTCATCAAACCAGCCTTGCACCGCATATTAAGGCTTCAGATTCGTAACTTGTATATTAATTTGTCATTTTTAAATTTAGGATAATAGACACAAAAATATTTCCGTTGGTTTACATTGGCGCGTAACGAAACAGTTTTTATTGAAACTGCGCAAATAAATGTTGTCGTCGCTCAGGAAATAAACGTTTAGATTCTAATGCCGATATAACAGGAAGTGGCTTTTATATGTGACGTAATGCATATAAAGACGGAGCGTGCTGAAAATTTCTTGGCTCGCCTAAGAAAACTTTCGTAAAAAAGAAGACAATTCGAATACTGGTTAGATTTGTCAAAATGAGTCAACATCCTCCAATATATATATATATATATATATATATATATATATATATATATATATATATATATATATATATATGTATGTGTGTGTGTGTGTGTGTGTAAATACTGAGATCAACACCGAGAGAGACAAGCTGTTTCATGTTTCAACGCAATCTCCATTGCGTTGAATCATGAAACAAAGTGTCGCCCTTGGTGTTGATCCCAATATCGATTATTTTAAGAAACAGATAACTTTAAGGTTTCATGATTATAATTTATTTCCTTAGAATCGAAATTTGATTCTAATTCCTCAGATCGAATAAATGGGTGACAAATATTCCAGGCATGAGAAGCATCATTTTTTAATTTATGCACACATGTGTTTGAGGAGGCAAGATTAAATTGGTGGCAGGAGGAGTAAGTTGATTGAGAGAGTGGAAGGCAAATGTATATATATATATATATATATATATATATATATATATATATATATATATATATATATATATATATATATATATATATATATTAAATATATATATATATACTAAAAAAGATTAAAGTATATTTCTGCTTTTATACATACGTCAGTCTCTTTCATTCTAGTCCAAAATATGTTTTAATCAATAGTCAAAAGTAAAATCTTTAAAAGGTTAATTTGAAGAACCAGCCAATCATTAACACCTTATCCTGACAAATAGACAAGAGATAAAGAGGTCGACATCTTCCCGTGAATTTGACAAAAGCTCAAATCACGACCATTGTTCGCGCGGATTCCTCTAAACGATAATATTACCCTGGAGCTGAACAAGGCGATCAAACATGTAAACAGACTGACCGAACCTAACCAAACTTTCCTTTCCCTTCGATTGGATGATTACTGGGTCCTTGAAGGATGTACAACAAAAACGGATGAAAGTTGCACCCAGCAGTAGTTAGATAGCTCGCAGCGGTTCAAGATCTCGCTGGCTCCGAACTGCGCACTTGCATGAATCTGCCAGTCGCACCTCACAAAAGTGGACAGTCTACAAGTCATCACTGTTCATCAGCCAACGGTAAGGTAAGGGGAGAATTGGAAAATGGCTCCTCATCTTATCCCCCACGATTAACTCAAACTGATCGCCAATTCAATAATAATATAACATGATTGGCATTTTATAAAAGCCAGTTGATCCGAGCCTCGAACTGACATTTCATCACCGCAGTTGGTCCGTGCAGTTTTGAGCGCATTGACTAAGCGAACTACGTTTTGAGCCTGGGATACTCAATGCAAGTTATACGAAAACCACGCCGCTTCAAATACCTGCAGGTGATTTTCTATCCGAGCATCGTTTGACTCATTACTTGAAGAAGATGGCGTT